TAGATGCTTCTCAAACCAATCCCGGGACATCATACTCATACTCGGCCTTGGTGAGGCCGCAGCTGGAGTACTACGTCTAGTTTTGGGCTCCTCAATTCAAAAAGGATGTGGAGAAGCTTGAGAGAGAGTCCAGAGGAGAGCCACACGCATGATCAGAGGTCAGGAAAACAGACCTTATGACGACAGGCTGAGAGCTATGGGACTCTTTAGCCTAGAAAAGCGCAGGCTTAGGGGCAACCTGATGGCCACCTATAAGTTTATCTGTGGTGTTCACCAGAATCTGGGGGAACGATTGTTCACCAGAGTGCCCCAAGGGATGACAATGTCAAACAGTTATGAACTCCAGCAAGACCGTTTCAGGCTGGACATAAGGAAGAATCTCTCCACTGTCCAAGGCCCCAAGGTCTGGAATAGCCTGCCACTGGAAGTTGTTCATGCACCTACACTGAGTGCCTTCAAGAGAAATTTGGATGCTTATCTTGCTGGGACACTATGACCCCAGCTGACTTCCTGTCCCTTGGGCAGGGGGCTGGACTCAATCTCCTGAGGTCCCTTCCAGCTCCAATGTCTATGAAATCTATGAACAATTATCTTCCTAACAGGAGAATTTAATAGTTTGTCTTTTTTAAAAAAATAAGTTCTTTAGCACCAGGATCAGGAGCAAAAACAACTTTTGACTATTTAGAAAACTCATATCGGAGAACATAAAAATTGGTATGAAGCAATGAAGCAACAGAGTAAAGGCTATATTTACAATTAGTTACTAGTGGGTTTGAATAACATTTTATAGGAAACTGAAAGAATAAGATTACATTGGAAAATACTTGAGCAGCCATCTCAGAGTACTACAGTGGATGAAATGAAACTTCCTGATCCAAGGAGGTTTAATAAAATACAAAGCCTAGACCTACCCTCAAAAGGAAGTTTATGACAATTCAAAACAGAACCTGTGCTGTGGCTGCTATACATAATCCCCACCAACATGGGAAAAAAAAAACTAGGGCATGAAAGTTTGATGAAACAAGTACAAGAACATGCTGCCATTAAGTAATTAGGGCTCCCAAAGCACATCTACCAAATGCAGGCCAAGACACAGAAGAGTGAATACCAATATGCAGAAGGAAGAGAAAGCCCTACAAGACTCCTAAGCATGATCACCAGATCAGACCCAGCTATAAAGATGTCCCTGTTAATACGAAGGACTGTATCCCTCACTTGGAGGCAGCATGACTAGAGATAAGCCAAGAACCAGGGATCTTAAAATGCTAACTGGTGCCCAGACCAATTGTATTTTGGTGGTACAACTGGCTACAAAAAAAAAAAAGTGTGTGTGTGTGTGTGTGTGTGTGTGTGTTTCAGGCAGGTTCTGAACCCAGGAATACACAACAATCCAAGGTCCGCTGAATAATAAGAGCTGTGATGCTGTTTTCATGTCTAAAAACCTTGGTGCAAAGTAGTAATCTTTGAAGCATGAGGATTCATCTCGCAGATGAAGCAAGCTGACATTTCAGGCTGTAAACTAGTGAATTCTGCATACATGCTGGTTTGGACAGGTTCTGGCAAAAATAAAGGCAAGATTGCACTTGGCTTTTACCCAGAAGATAGCTGCATAGACATGGAATGTACAACTACAGTGATTTAAGGACTTAAATAAGCACTAAGAGAGAAAAATAAAGGAAAACTTCAAAGCACTAACTTCCTTTGCCTGTGATTCTAATTATTGATATAATTCAGATTTGCTTCCCCTCCTCCCACTTTTTTTTTTTTTTTTTTTTTTTTTTGTGGAAAAACCCTCTCTTCCAATTTCTTTAAAGAAAATTGCCAGATCTTAGGTAACTAAACCTTTGGAATCCTCTTGGGAAAGTTTGGAGGAAGCAATAACAGGGTTTAAACAAAAAACATTTCCATATTTACAAAAAACCCTTACACCTAAAGACAAAGCAGTTGCCAATAAAACTGTAGCATAGCATTTTGGATGATTCATTTTGCTGTACTTTGGAAGAAATTGTCTCTGACATCTCAGATTCAAAGTCATCACACAAGGTAAATGTTGACTTTAATGGCAGCTATTACCCTTTTTGTTCTCAGAAAAGCACATGATACAGTTCTACAGAGGATATGCCAGAGTGAACACTACTTGCCAGGCTGACACCTGAACCAAATGAAGAACATCGGTACATGAAAACAAAGAAAGCTCTAATGAAGTGTCACATTAGCATTTAATACCAAAGCACACTACACTTGCCATTCTAAACCAGTTCCATTTCATCCCTTTAGATTTTAATGGGTTTATTTCTCCATTTTTTAAATTTATTCTTCAATTTTATCTGCTTTCATACATTCAAAAGTAAGCAATGAGGTGATACCAGACAATAAGTAAATATTCTGAACAGAGGTAAGAGTGAATTTATGATGCTCTGTAGACAATTGGCTGAAACAAAGTTAGTGAATATAGGCTACAGCTCAATTAAACATGTTTTAGCAAGGTCCTGAGCATCTAGTAAAATGCGAAAAATGGCAAAGCTTATCAAGGCTTTCTATCAAGATCTCTGAGAGATTGAACCACTACCCACAGGGTCTTCATATTAATGCAGCTGATCTAAAGTACCATTTTGTGATATGCTCTTTTGTGAATGGGAACAGAAGAAAAAAAAAAAGCCTGACAGGACAACCCAAGAGACACTAGCCTGAACAATGACATTGAACCATTTGTGCTTTTGATGTTATTGCTACAAACCCAGCATGCTTTCTGGTGAACACAAACTTGTTAAAATTGTATATTAGTGGAACCCTTCTCTTAGTGCAGATTAAAAGTGTAGCATCTTTCCTCCTCCTAACACACTAACAAAATGAGCACATCACAGTCTTAGTGAGTATAACACAATGTTCATTAGTTAAGGTGTTGCCCAAAGAACAGTTTGTGCAACTGTCAAAAGTAAATCTTGGGGTGGGAAGTTCTGCTGAATACAAGCTTGTTCAGATTATTCGTTAGTGGAACCCTCCTCCCAGTACAGCTTAAAAATCCTTAGAATGCCTGTGGACAGTTACATGCCCTGTATTTCTGGTGTAAGTGTGCTTCCTGCACAGAAGATCAGAATCTTTAGTAGCACTAGAAACACTCTTTACAATTTGTATTTTCTTACTAGCAGTCATAACTGATGAAAAGCCCCCTGGATTTGTTTAAATGAATCCAAGAGAGCTACTGTAAACCTAGATCCATTTAGAAAACTGCACAGCCCTCCATGGAAGGACAATGAGCAGAAATACCTGCTATGTGAACTGCTGGAGAGCCTATAGGAGTACATGATTCGCAAGCAATGAACGTTACAGGTAACAGTCCCAAATTGTATTACACGTGCCCAAACAGAGAGCATCTCTGTCGCTACATATATTCATCATTCTAGTAGAATCCTTCTACAAGGCAGACTGTTGTAAATCCTGACCAAATAATTTTTCTGTGGTCACTGGACAGACAGCATGCAAGCTGTGAGGTGCCATGATCTCATCTTCATTTTGCACAATTGCATTGAAGTTGATTAACAGTTAAATCAGCAGTCATGTTGATTGATCCATCAAGTCTCAGTAAAAAATAAAATAAATAAATAAATAAATAAATAGTTACACAAAGGACCTTCCAGGGTTACCATTATGCTCCTGTTGCTACTCCTGTGAAGATGGACAACAGCAGACTTTTCTTCCTTTAAAAATCAACATTAACAAACAGCTACAATACTATCTGGGCAGAAGAGTTTACTTGAGGTGACTTGTCTGAAAATCATCCAGTTGTCAAGAAACAGGTGGACTCTTACGGCATTCCATCTAAGAAGAAAGAATTGCTTTCCCCTAGGGAATCTCATATGTACATCTCCCTAAATTGTAAAGTAGCCCTGATACCCTGGAATTCCTGTAGTACTTCATCTAATGTGCTTACTGAAGAGGTCAGAGCTCTCAAAAGGATAGGTCCTGGTCTTTTGGATCTCCTTTACCAGGCCAAAAACTACAATCAAGTTCTGTACATAATCATTGCAAATGCCTTGGAGTGAGCTGCCCCACCTGAGGCATCAAGGGCAGCCTACAGGTTCATGGGAAAAGTTATTCCTCTACCATCAGTGTCCTGAGTACATCTGTCTGCTCCTGTGGGAATACTGCAATACTATCTAAGTTTAGGAAACATTTTTTAAGCAAGGTCTGTTGCACACAGATCAAGCAAGTTATCCTTTAGTTTTGTTTTGGGATGTACAACCATCCAGATGGAAATACATTTAAAAAAAAAAAAAAAAAAAAGCACTGTCCTCATCTCGAAAATTCTCATGAACTGGGCACCTGAACCATTCAACTTGTTGTTCTTTGTATGTATTTTGTGTATGTTACACTCAAGTTTTCCAATTCATATTTTCTCTTCTCTCTCTGCCAAGAGAGATTTAGGAGTGCACCATCAAGGAAGCTACCACAGAAATAGCAAAACATGGCGGTTTTTTACCCAGATGCTGGTGGGGGGGGGGGGATCAGAAATGGAAACAGATACCAACCCATCCACTTTATCCCTTTCCCCCTGCCTCGCATCACCCCAACCTCAGAAAAAGGTACAGATTCAATTCCCTTACCATCTTCCCCAAGAACTGTGGAATGACATCAGCTAGAGCTCAGCAAGAAGTCATATTCCAGCTTAGTTAAATCAACCAAGAAACCCCATAAGTCAGGTGTTGCATACTTAACTATTCTTTTTCAACCTGAATAGGCTCTGAAAGCCTGTGATGTCTAGCTTAGAAAGCACTCAAAGACCTAGTTACCATTTAAATTGCTCATCTACCAACTTCCATGAAACAAATAAAAACTTTTTGTATCGGCTTAAGTGAGACTATAGTATCTTTAAACCAACAACATGCAGTCTTAAATCCTGGTTCTGCCTTCATCTTCATCATTTAAATGTTATAAAAAACGTTGTCTTAATACAGCACACTGCACGTATGTGCACGTGCAAAATCTCATTGACAACATACCTGTTATTTTGTCTCTTACAAGCTTACAGGACTCTATTTCACCAATGCTTCCAAACAGACTCTTCAGTTCTTCTTGTGTCATGTTCTGAGGAAGGTAGTTGACTATTAAATTGGTCTTGCTGTCCTCCGTGTTTCCAGAATCAACTGGCGATGAGCAGTTGTTTATGGTGGTTGGACCATTGGCTGTATTATTGCAAGTTGGTCCATTAGACAGTTGTGTTTCCATGGCAGCAATTACCTGCTAAAAAACAGAGAAAATAAGAAGTGTCAGAACTCATATTTCACGATCTATTAGAGAGATTCCAGCCAAGAATTTAAAGACTTGTCACTATGCACAAGTAATTATGGCCAGGCTTGCAATAATGCCTCTACAAAAAAGAACTTCATTTATAAAACATTTAGGAATTTAGAGGAAAATAAGGTAGTCACTGAAAGATTTTCTAAAAGCAACCTGAGTAAAATATTCTCTTTAAAAAATTAGCTGAAAAAAAGTAAATAAATATTCTTTTTCTTCATGGAGAAATATCACAGCCTACTAAAAGAAAGAATTACATCAAAGCAGGATGTAGCCAGATGCAAAATGTTATTTAGTCAGTATGGTTAACCCTTTGCAACTGAGCAAAGGGAAATGAAATGTGCTTGTAAGAGTAGCATGTACTGTTTTAGTTACTTTTCCATTGAAAAAGGTTAACTATATCCTAGAACTACTGCTGATGAACACTGGAAGAAAGCAAGATTACTGATTTCAACATTTTAAAAGATATTTAGAAAAAACAATGGAAATATTGGGATGGAAAGTAGAACTTCTTCCTTGATGATCTAGGGTTATTTTTCTTTTGCCTGCATTTGTCAGAAACAGCTTTATAAATAGCATTTGGCATTTAAGTTGATAACTATTGCTCCTCCTCCCCCCCCCCTTCCCCGGGATCAAACTGCATTATATTTAATACTTTGGTTCAGTTTAACTGTGTTTAGAAGACAAAGTAAGAAAGATTACAGTAGAGACTTGCTCCTAATTCCAAACTACTGGAGATATAGTGAAAGTCATTAAAAAGTCAATAGATGCCCAGAAGTTACCAAAGTTTTATTCCAGCTGTAAGAAACTCACCATAGCATTTCAAACCCTCACTGAATGGTAACTGTTGGTAAGTAACAGCTTTTTAATGGCTGCCTCTATATCCAAGACCTAACTATTATATTCAGTTAGAAAATTACCTATGTAGTTATCAATTTTAACTGAAAGTTTGGACAGCATGTTATCCAATAAAATAAAAGATCCAGTATAACAGACAAGATTACCCTTAAAATTACAAGTTTCAAAAAAATAAACCTAGTTCACAAAAACACCTATTCTTTTGCTTATTTCAAAGTTTCTTTACATAAAAAAAGCTATTTCCAATAAATCTATAGCCAAGTAGCCAGATATTCTTAGACTCAACTGCTCGCTGATTCAAAGACTGTAAACTTTAAAATCAAGTGAGCTTTAGCGTCTCTCCATGAAAATACCAGCTTCAGAAGATGCATGAAAACTTCTCAAAAACAAGTTACAGCATTCCTGAAGATGTATGAAATATAAAAGGAACAGTTCTAATGGACCAGGAGGTTATATCTGATGCAAAAGCAAAAGAGAAAAGATGTATTGCCATTCAATTATTTTTTTTTTTAATCTAATATTTCTGAACAGCAGTGCTACTAGAGCAGTAACATTCTTTCCTCCTAACAAATGCCTATGGGTTAACCTGCTCCTGGCACCATAATAAAACAAATCTGCTGAAGAGACAAGAAAGTAGCGAAGGCCAATTAAGACAAATTACTGTTCAAATGCTAGTATATATGGCAATGCTGGTAGCCACAAATGCTGCATTCTAACTTAAGCTCACTGGGACTGCATTTTTCAATCTAAAGCATTCATTGATCAAAATTAGCAGGTTTTAGCAAGGACAACAAACAATCCTCACTTAATTGCACATTTATTTTCATGTTCAGGTGGCAAGAATAAGATCCTAAGCCAACATTCAAGTGAACATCTGCAGTAGCCTGCACACACTGAAATTACAGCATTTCTCAACTATAAGACCATCTGCTCTGAATAAAGTGATACTAATATGCTATATTTTTCAAATAATGCATATTCCATTGATAGGTTCAACACAACTGTTCACAAAACACGAACAAAATATTTCAGCAGTTACTGAGCAATTAATGTTTTCATCCAGAAAGGCAAAAGTTTTAAATAGGTAATTTACAGTTTTAAAAACACTTGAGTAGAAATTGTAAACAACATTAAAAAATTAGTAACAAATAAAAACAAAAAAACAAAACAAAAAAAAACAGTACACAGGTTACAAAAGTTACTGTAAAATTTAGTATTCAGACCATACCAAAACAGTTTTATTACAATTCTACTCTTATATTATCCACTGGATATTTTGAATTAGCAATAAAATCTAATTGATGTTCCAAAAAGATCACCAGTGCAGTTTAATTTCTACAGGATATCACCATATTAAAAAAAAAAGTCATAAACAGAGTGCATGCTCTAGGCCCTGACAAAACAGGAATGCAGCCTATGTCCTATGTTGAAAATATGAACGAGTATACAGTAGAATTCCAAATGAGAGATTAAAGAGTTTGGTATGGCCTCAGCACTATTTTAACATGTTAAAAAGTAGCCTACAGAATTTAAGAAAAATCCCACAGACCCCAGTCCAAGGCTCTGCTGCCCACGAACCACTTCTAAGCAGAGAAGCCACATCACACAGTCTGACTGCCATGTTAGTTTGGAGTTGCCGTCTGCAATATGGACACAAAAAGTACCGTATGTTAGATTAGCAAGATAATGCAACAAATCAGTTTGTACAAATTTACAGTAATTGTATTTATATTCCCAGCACGTCCATGCAGTGTGGCTTAATTGAATTTGAGGCAATTCCAATCTAATCTTTCCAAATTTGGTTAAAATGATATTTTTCTTGCATGAATTAAAATAGTCATTTTTAAAAGAGCCTGATTTAAAGGTAGTACAAACTAGTTACCTCTGCATCTAGCCTGAAAACTACCTTAAAAAAGTCACACGTATCTAAAGAAAACCACACCACAGCATGATTTTTAAAACCTGGAAGAAGGAAGCGAGCAGGAAGGAAATGTAAGTGAATAGATTTTTAGTTATAAAGTGAGAGCGTCATGCACTATTTTAAAGAAAAATACATGCCCTCCCCAACCAAAAATAAATAAATAAATAAATCACAAACAACACACAACACACTACTCTTAAAATCCAGTTTATACTTAACCCCAGAAGTTCAAGGTTAAACAAAAAATGAATTAAAAGACTGAGCAGAAGTTTTATTGCTGCATTCAGAACGTTATTTTACAATGGCCCTATTGAAAAAAGTGTTACTGTTTATAAAGTGACAACAGCATCAAGCAGCTTTTTCCAACTGGAACAACTGGACTAATAACAGGAAAGAGATAATGTTTGATAAAGGCATCACTGTCCCCAAGCAAGCCAACTGAGCTTTTCTTAAATGTGCAAATTGCAAACCCAGCCGGATTTGAAATTATCAGTGCTAACAGGCCATCAATATAGCTAATGGGCTATTTACATCTAGCCCGGATATTAAATACAGACAAAATCCTGGCACAAAACAAAACAGGAAAGAGCTGTGCTATTCCAGCCCCACTTTTTTGCCCTAATACTTGTGAAAAGAATGCAAACTGAGGATTTATGCCAACCACATCCCCCCTAAATTCATTCACTTTTTGGAAGGTTTTTTATCCACGGTTTAATACAAGTCTATTCTTCTGGCTTCTGAAGTAAATTATGATTTAGGTAACTTCTGAAATTTCTTTCACTTAAGTTTTAATATATGTTCGGTAGGACAAACTTAATTGACCTAGCTGGACGCAAAGAAACACTTCATGTTCCAGTTTGAGGAATACCTAATATCTTCACATTAAAAATCTAACAGCGCTTTGCAGCTCAAATAGTGCCACTAAAAACTCCCCAATGTTTTCTCTCAACACAAAAAATAATCACTGCACACATCTACCATGGCCAAAGCCTTACTACAAAATGATTCTTATACTCACAAAATAAGTTAGAAGAACAGTTAGCAACACAGGAAAAAAAAAATCTGAATTCTCACTCCTATTAATTCTATGTGCTCTAATTGGTTTTACTCAGGTTCACCTGGACCAAGTAACTTGTGTGACAGTATAATCATTAAGCCCTCTTTGATGCCTTAATACAGTATAAACTTATTGGATGTGTCAATTCAGGAACAAGCTTCCAGTGCTTAACTGGAGTAGTACACTACCTGGGATCTTACAAGTTTTATAGATTCATAGATTCTAGTCAGAAGAGACCCCAAAGGATCATTGTGTCCGATTCCTGTCCCAGGCAGAAAAAGATCCAAGGTCAGACAACCCCAGCCAGGTGCCTATCTAGCCTCCTCTTGAAGACCTCCAAGTTAGGCAATGTTACCACCTCTCTTGGCAGCCCATTCCAGATTCTGGCCCCCCTAACCTGAATCTACTCTCCACTAGTTTGTACCTATTGCTCCTAGTTACTCTTAGGGGTGCCCTGGTAAATAGTGCATCTCCAACTCTGTTGTCCTCCCTTGATAAACTTATAGACTGCTACCAGGTCTCCTGTCAGACGTCTCTTGTGAAGGCTGAAGAGATCCAGATCCCTCAACCTCCCCTCACAGGGTCTTGCACGGAGGCCACTAATCATACGAGTGGCCCTCCTCTGGACCCTCTCCAGAGTCTCTGCATCCCTCTTGAAGTGCAGCACCCAGGACTGCACACAGTACTTCAACTGTGGCCTGACCAAAGCCACATAGAGGGGGAGCATCACCTCCCTCGCTCTGTTGGTCATGCATCTGCTAAAGCACCATAAGGTGCAAATGGCTTTGCTGATGGCTTCATTACGCTGACAGCTTATGTACATCTTGGAGTCAACTATGACTCCAAGATCTCTCAGCTGCTCAGCTGCTGAGGAGGTCATCCCCCAACCTATAGGTGTGCAGGGGATTCCTCCTCCCTAGGTGGAGTACCTTGCATTTGTCTTTGTTGAACTGCATCCTGTTTGGTTCTGCCCATTGCTCCAACGCGTAGAGATCTGCCTGTATCTGCTCCCTGCCCACTTTGCCCCATAACTTGGTGTCATCTGCAAACTTGGACAGGGTGCTCTCCACACCCTTGTCCAAATCGCTGATATTAAATAACACCAGTCCAGGGACCAAACCCTGTGGGACACCACTGCCTACCTTTTATTTTAAAGAAATACAGGTACAGGTATGTAGTTATGCATCCAAAGTGTTCAAACTTTAGCCACCCCAAATCATCTGCTTGATATGGGTATTTCTATCAAAGTCCTTCTTGTACAATCATCACTGGTAAACCCTTCATGCTAAACATGGAAACTGAACTTTTGCTTGGCTAGGTCTTTAAAAAAAAGAAGTTTTCAAAATTCCACTACCAGCTTCTTAACATACTCAAAAGGCTCAAGATCATTAAGTTTACTTAAAATATAAGGCAACTCCAGCCTCAGCAATGTCACTAACATTCATATATTCTAGAATTCTATTCAATTCTACTTAAAGAAATGGTTTTGTTACATATTTCTTATTTTAAAAAGATAAGATTCCTCTCAGGCTTTTCCTTATTAATGGAAACCTGAACCCAATTCGAGAAGGATACAATCAGTTTGAAGCCTCACTGATTTTTTTTTTTTTAAATGCATGAACAATGTCAGTTACCCCACTACTATATTCCCTCTTTTTTTGCCACTGATGATGCTATTTTAAAATCTTTTTTTATTGTAATATTCTCTACTCTAATGCGGCATAGGTGACCCCGCCAACAAGAGAAACAAGTGGGCCAGTGTTCCTATTTGCTTTTATAACCAAGTGGAATAGGTAAAAAAAACCTTAAAGTTCTTTGCTTTTTCAAAATTCAGGTTTTGTTTTTTTTCTTTTAAAGAAATCTGTTTTTACATCTGAAGTTATGACAAGCTAAACTGAGCCCTAAATTCCAAGTTATTTTAAAAAGCTGATAGTAAAAAGTCAAGCATTAAAACTTCAGCTGCAGCCACGTAAGGACAAATCACTTAACTGATGAAAGTCATGAGCTAAATATCTGTAAATTTGCTAAAAAGCCAACACAGCTTTTGACAGCAAGTCTTTTTGCAGGTGCAGAGAAAATATTCTTTTCATTTCAGTTTATTCAATTAATTAGTTCAGTTGTAGGACTAATTCATTCAAAGTTAAGAAACCAACTGAGAGCTGAAAGAACAGGAAACTTTTCACTTCCAATTTATGAGTCAAGTGAGGTATGAGGACAAAATATATTAGTTTTTTCTATACAGCAAAGGATGCATTACAAACAAATCTGTTCACTTCAGCAGCTGCAACTAGTACTTCCCCCAATACCCATTTGGGATGCAGTGTTGATAAAAAAAAAAAAAAAAGTTATCCGGTGCATGAGTAAAAATGAGTTGAATAGTTTTAAAATGTGGTTCTGGATATCTTACTAGTCACATCACAAAAATCTGGCAAATACTTGTCCCTGTTTTCCATATTAAAATGTAAAAACTAAGAGTAAGTAAGTGTTAAGATGCAGCAATTATACAGATACAGCATATTCCGATTGGCCAAAAACTTTATAAATGTATCCCAATGAGTCAACTCTTCTTTAGGAAAGTAACTAAACATTACCAATACAAAACAGGGCCAACCAGGGGCAGATCCAAGGGGGATGCAGTCAGCTAAACCCCCATTTTGATTCCTGCTCCAGCCACCCAAACTTTAAAACTGATTGCTTAAGAGGCAGCAGCACTTCAACTCAGACACTGGTGAGGGAGTCAATTGACTTCATGGCTCCTTATAATCTGACTCCTGCTAATTCCTCTTCAGTCCACAGATGTTAACAACCCTCTTTCCTTTTTAAGTCTTGATGTTCCACTCACTATTCAAGCTATCCTTTCTTCTGCAATTTTGCTGTCTGTTAGCCATTCCAAGTAATATCTCCCTTCTAGTCCATAACCCTGCAAATTAAGGTTTTTAGCTCTAGCTAAAAACCTTAACTTGGGTATGACAATATTGACTCGGGTATAAAAAATGACTGACAGTAAAGCATCAGAGACACCGTTAAGATGCTCAGGAAGACTAAATTGTTTTATGAGTCTGAATAAAAGATATACATTTAACTATGACTACAGAACCAGCAAAACAATCTCTTTCAACTATTTTTGCCTATCTTGTGTTTTTTAAGCTTTATAATAGCTGGCAAATTAGCACACTTTCCAAAAAAGTTACATTTGTGTTTGCTTTCATCTTAAACTGATGAATATAGTGCTACGCTCCTATCATATTAGTAAAACTTGTAGTTGCTCTTTAACTAAAGAAAAATGTGGTGTTGTATTTGTGATGTACCTCACCATCTGCATCCTTCTTTTCAAAATCTTATATCCACTCCTGGGGCTAGCAAGGGTAATTTTAGTCTTTTTTCAAATAGACCTTATTTCAAGGGGGATTGTAATAAAATGTCTTAATTCCCCACACCCCTGGGAGGAGAGCCTTCAGAAACATTGAAAAACTAACAAGCTGTGCCTAATATGACAAAGTTAGCTGAAGCTCAATCCAATGCTAGTATCTGCTCCCCTTTTAACAGTGTCCTGGAACTTATGCACAGGAGTAAGGCTATTTAACTGCTACTAGTAAGCTCAGTTTGTGAACTTTGTCCCCTAGATTGTCTAAACCAGGGGTTGGCAACATTTTAGGTCAAAG